TCCACCTTCACTGCCTAGACAAGCTGTCCAGTAGGTTCTCGGGACACTTCAGAACATCTGCCTCCAATGACAGAGATTGTCAGAGCAGCCCCTTGCTCTTCGGTGATGGCTGGGTGCAGGGATTGATAGACTAACCCTGTGTCATGTTGATTTCCTGGCGTCTGGCTGTGGAGGGTCCAACCTGCAGGTTCCTGAGTGAGAACCTCTTCATAGGCTGCCCCCAGGGGCCTCTTGGTAACTCAACTCTAAAAGCACCACGTAAACTCAGAATCACGCCTGTCCTCTGCCGGAAGAGCTAGGGGTGGACCTCAGGAAAGGGGCTGGGCTAACTCTAAACACTTCAAATTACTTGTGTTCCTAGAAGATAAGGTCAAAACCTGGCTTTCTCTTTCCAAAGAAGACAGCCTCAAAGGTCTCTTTATCTTCTGAAGTGTGACAAAGTCCAGTTTCACATGGTAATTTCCTTATCCAACAGCAATTAATCTACATTCTTGCCTGGTGATTGGGGCCTTCTGACTTGCAATTTCCCTCTATTTCCTTTACAGCTCATGGACTGTTATTTATTTGGCTCAGTATTGGTGGCAACTAGTATCACCAAAGTGATAACGATAATAGGACCTAACAATAAACACGAGATTTACTGTGAGTCAGGCATTTCTCTAATCAGTTAGCACCATTACTTCTTTTGCCTTGAGACCCAGGTCAGGCAGCCAACTGTTCGGATTCTCACTGAGACAGCAGATGCTCCCTGCCCCTAGGAAATGTACTCCGGCTCTCCAAGCCTGACTAGTGCAAGAGGCCATACTTTTGACCTCTGTACCCCAGAACCTCCTGGGGTGACTTTTCTAGGGAAATGACACATGAGGGTCAAACACAGAAAGTCTAGGTTAAAGAGCTTTAAATTCTGGGTCGGCCACAGTGGGGTGAGCACAGGGCTTGAGTTCCGCTAACAGCAGCTACCAGAGGTGCTGTCTTCTATTGCTTATGGCGCACTGCCCATTCCCAGGCAGAAAGCCTGCTGTTTCCCCTACAGTATTCCCACTGCCCGCTGATGTTGTCTTCTGGAATTCATTATGCACTGACTGGTAGACAATAATGGGAATCTCACAGAAATAACAGGAAAGCTAAGTAATTCGAGAAGCAGCATCCAGAAAGTGACTCAGAGGATGCTCTGAGTGCAGCATCCTTCCTGGATCTCTATTTTTGCTACCCTCGTTTTTAAAAAAGATGTCATTTTCATCCTGACAACAATGTCAGCTGCTTCCCTGGGACAGGCAAGGAACTCATATTTCTGCCAAATGAAAAGGACTTCCCTCATTGTAGCTGACAGCCGCTTCTCCTTGGGTTCTGTACCTGCTCCAACCTGTTCCTTAGTTCCTAGTTGGAACTTGGATACTTGCCTGTGCCTGTGAGCATCCGAGTGAGGTGTGGTACCATCTTTCCCTACCTATCCACACTGTGGCCTTTTCAAAACAAAACTCTGCTTGTTTCTGGAAGCTTGCCTGTCACTTCCTGCAGAACCCCAAGCTTAAGACGTTTGTGCTGAGACAGCACATGCCAGGACTTCTGGGACCACCTTAGGATGTTTTTGTGGCTACAGAACTGGATCCAAAAGACCACAGCCCAGTCAGTGGGTGAATAGCTATGTTCTCAGCTAATTAAGAGAGGGAAACTAACAAGCCAACTGGCTAACCTTGGACCCTGGAACATTAGGGAACTGCACCCCTCTCCAGTTCAACATGCAACGCCATGCTAGACCAGGCCCATCAGGTAGAAACAGAAGGAAAGGAAACCATTCTGTTGTTTGGTTCTTCTCTCATCTCTTCACATTACTAGCTGCTGTCTTCCCAAATCTGAATAATTACTAAAAACTCATCACACAGATGCCAATGAAGAACTTCTTGATCCCGAACCAGGTTGGACAATGTATAAGAGAAAGGAAAGAAACAGGCTTCACCAGCTGGAGTAGGGGTGGGGATCAAAGAGAAAGGAAGGGTGGGATAACAAGAGGCTGAGCCCCAGAAGATCTTAGTGAAAATGCCAAGAACAATTTGGAAAGCTGACCGCTGTGCTAGGCTGCACCCCAAAGGGATGCATGCAACCCCGACCCCCTCCCACCAGGATTTGACTACTATGAGCACCTTTTTCTGGTGAAGATGGGGACCACTGTGGAACAGAGCAGTAGCCTGGAAAGAGGAGGGGGAAACAAAGAATGGGGCATGGTTTAGTACCCAAATTTAGCCCCGTAGGTACTAACTTACAATGAGGTGGGAGTTCCCGGTGTGTGAGCAGTATCAGGTCAGTAGATAAACAGTGCAGTCCAGAAGAGATGCAAGGAAGTCCTTTGAATGTTTTCACCACAAGGAAAGAATTGTTTATAAGACATAACACGTACATCTGCATTTGAAATCATGCTGACATTTAAACATCACTAAGTGCATAGATGTATCAAAACAGCACGTGGTAGTCCACAAAAATGCTAAACTTTTATGTGTAGATTAAAATTTGCAACATAGGAGGCTGGAGGGATGGCTCAGAGGTTAAGAGCACTGGCTGTTGTTCCAGAGGTCCTGAGTTCAATTCCCAGCAACCACATGGTGGCTCACAGCCATCTGTACTGACATCTGGCGCCCTCCTCTAGCGTAGGGGCATACATCGAGGCAGAATGTTGTATATATAATAAATAAATAAATCTTTAAAAAAAATTGCGACATAGCCAGGTGTGTTGTTACATTTCAGTCAGCCAAGCACTGGGAAGGCCGAAGTAGGAGGATCACCTAGACTATATAGTAAGACCCTACCTCAAGCAAAACAAAGTTTAAATACGTATATATGCATTTCCTGAGTCAGGCATGAAACCTCAGAGGAACTTTGGGGTTTGAGAAACAAGTAAAAAAAACATGAGGGGACAAGGTGTGGAGAGGAGAAACACGCATGGATCGGGATGGCAAGAAACACGACAAAGTCCTACTAGGAGCTCACAGAGAATCTCGGACCAGCTTAGAGTGTGCCTGTCAAGCTGAGCTATGAAACAAACACAATACAGAAACACAAGGAGCGCCTCTATGTAGTAAAGTGAGGTAATACCTTTAGGCCTCAGTTAGGTCAAGTGACCTTGAAACCTCTGGGCTGTTTGCAGCTGAGGGTCAGTTAGCATCTTTCACCCTGCTGGGCTCTGCTGGGAGGCTGGAGAGAGCACACCTCAGTTTCTCTGCCAGCTGGAGTCTACCAGTGGCCAGCGCTAGGGAAAAGACCGCGCTCATGCGCAGAAGGGACCTTGGGCATAGCCACCTCCCCGTATCTTCCCATCTCTCCCCGAACCCTGTGCTCTGCGCTCCTCAGTTACTCTTTCAACAGCCACACAGAGGAAGAAATAAGAATCCCTCCAGAGTCCAGAAAGTCTACCAGGAACAAATGAGGAAGACACACTGATCTCCTGATTCCATGCAATACACGTACACACACACACACACCAAAGACCCAACCTTACACACCTGAAACTCCCCACTGCCCACTGCCAAGTCCATTCTCTGAAGGACAGCTTACTGTGAGGTGAAGCACATCAGAAGTCACGTGGTTAGGAGAGAGAAGTAAGTCATGAAAACACAGCAGGACAATACCAGGAATAAAAGAAAGGGGAAAAAAACCTACTCAACTTCACAGTGACACTGGTTGAAACAATTTACTAGGTTATTATATATGCAACACTGTTGTATGCAAATCACATGCAAATATGAAGACCAGCCTCCATGGAGATAGGCTCTGCTTTCTCCAGCTTCTAAAGCAAATCCAATTTGGCAAGTGAAAAATAGAAAAGGGCTCAGTGGTAGGCTTTTAATGTGTTTATGGACTTCAGTGCCTACCCCCAAAGCCCCAAAGGGACCTTCAACCTCAAAGGGTCTTGTTCACAAAGAACTGTGTGGCATGGGAATGAGCCAAAACTTTCAGGTGAGCTCAAAAGCATTTCCTCCTGTGTCTCCAGGGAGCTGGGAAGGTGAGCAGCCCCTAAAGACCACAGGTGAGCCAGGTGACTGAGCTGAGAGACCTGTTGGTTTCAGGGACTCCCCATTCCAACCTCTCAGGGCCCCTCACTCCAACCTCTCAGGGGCTCCCCACTCCTTCCTCTCAGCAGCTTCTCCTGACACCTTTTTCCCTGGGCCTCCCACTCCTTCCTTTCCTTTGTCTCTCTCAGTGCCCACCCTGCCCCAAGTATTACTTGAATAAATTAAACAATTAAATAAATCGAACAATTAAAAGATACAAAGAAGGCCGTGACAGGAAGAGGCTTGCTGTGGTACTATAAAGTGTGTGTGGGAGGACTCTCCACACCTCCTCCACAAACATTTATTTATTTTTAGAAACATATTAAAGCATTTTTGAAAGATTCTCCAGCCTTGTAGGAACTAGAAAGTCTAAGGGAAGTGGGGAAGGATAATGGGTCACATGGTCTAAAAGTAGTAAAGAGGTCACTAGGAGAAGGGGGTACAAAACAGGAGTAGGAGGGGAGGCAAATAAGGGAGAAGGGGGAAAGAGAATCAGCAACAACAAATGAGGCATAGACATTCCATAACAAAGTCTGTTACTATGTTAAAACTACTGTCCAACCTACTGTGTGCTAATTTTAAAGAAAGGCTATGAATAGGGCTGGGAGATGGACCAGTCATCAAAGTGCTTGCAATGAGTCTCGATCCTTGGTACCCACATTTAAAAATGGGTTTGGTAGCATAAGTTTGTAACGGCAGAATTTCAGGGACAGAGGCAAACAGATCTTTGGGGTTAGTGGCCAGCCGGTTTAGCCGGATCAGTGTTCCAGCTCCAGGTTCAGTGGGAGACCCTGGCTCATACAATAGGGTGAAGAACAAATGCAGACACACGTACATACATGTACACACACACACACACACACAGGAAAACCCATGGGTCTACCCTGGAAGCTACTATTTCCATTCGTTCTGGAGTGAGCTCCCCTTAGCTCTCCACTACAGGGCTTGGCTACCTACCTGAGCCGGAAAGAACCAGAAGAAGAGGTTGCTGTTGTAAGTCTTATTCACCGTGATGTAGCCGGAGTAACTCTTCAGGCTCGTTCCAGGGAAAGGACTGACCATGCTCTTCTTTTGCCCTGGTGAAGAGAAAGAAAACACACTCAAAGATTAGAGACCACGCTCCATGAGGCTACTCAGTCTAGGGGAGATCTGTGCCGACCACCAGGCCAGGATACAAAGCTGAGAGGAGACCTCATGAGGAGTCCTCTCAATGGCAAATTCCAGCCTCCTCCAACTGGTCCCCTAGAGTCCCCATTCACAGTGAGGTCAAGAGAAGCTGGAAAGGGGGCTGGGATCTAAAGGGGGCCAGGAGCCAAGTCTTCGTAGCTGTTCTTTGTTTTGTTTCGTTTTTCCTATGAGAAGGAACTCATCCATCCTTTCTGTTGCTTGAGCCCCTCAGGTGTTTCCACTGTACCCAGTGAATGGACGGGAGAAAGAGTACAGAGAAGCAAACTAAGCCTCTGGCCCCACCTTCCTGTTGTTAGGGGCACAAAGTCTGCTGGTCTCTTAAGGATCAGACCTGAGGGTCTCAGAGTGGCTGCAGAAAGGAGTTGAACCTGGGGTGACCTTATGGCTACACAGGGGGCCAAGTAGAACAGGGACAATTGTGCAAGGTAGAGACCCTGGATTTCTAATGCCCGCAGAGACAGAAAAGGAGAAAGAGGACATCCTCAGCCAGCCTTGGGGGCCTTAGAATGAGATAATGCTGATGGAAGCCAAGACTTGCAAGGCTATGACAAAGGAGAGGCATAGAAAGGCAGGTAACTTGCCCAAGGCCTCCCATCATCAAAGAGAAGCTGAGGCACACATACCCTGGTAGCCACAGCCAGGCTGCAATGCTCCTTCCTGCCTCCTAAAGGTGACTGTCCTGAGTCCCGGGCATAGGAGACAGAAAGTGGGAGAGAAGAAGCTACAAGGAACAGGGTAGAAAGAGAACAGAAAGTGGGTGTTGGGGTACACAGGAGCAAGAGGAAGAGAAACATCGTTCAGTACAGACTCAGTCCAGGATGGCATTTCAGTCTAAGATATACTAAAATGGAGAACGCTTAGAAAGTCAACATGCCATCAACTGATGATACCCACCGTGGTGGGCATCTCTCCCCGTCCAGCACGCAACCATATCACTGACAAAAACAAAACAAAACAGTACAAAAAAACCTACCATTGTAAGAAAGAGTATTCAATCCAGAAGGAAGTGATGTAAAGCCCAGGGTCTTTATCCCACAAACCCCTGACTCAGTGCAGCTACCTGTAGCAGGCAGGAAGTCTTGCTGCCTGGCTGCAGCTACTGGGGTGTGTGTGCCCCAGTTCCTCTTTAATGCTGGGAGTTGTTGGGCATGCTACATCCCCTTTTATGCTTCTCCCTTGACATAGCCTTGTAAGTCTTAGCTTTGAGACTATGAGCTCCTTTCTTAGAAGTAGGCATGCCTTTTCAAGGGGGTGCACTTCTGGAACACACTTCCCTGTCCTCTATATTTATTCTCCCTGACACAACCGCCTAACCATTGTGCCTCTGGGTGGCAGCAGCCAGCCTCCCCTGTGCATAGATTCTCAACCAGGACAGGGGCACCCTTTATGCGTCCACAGGAACCTAGAGTCATCATGTCCAAGCCTGTCAAAAGAAGGCAGCTAGGGGACTTGGGAGGTCACTCACTCAGCCAATGGTTTGCCTTGCAAGCATGAGGGCCTGGATTGAACCTTGACTTGAGGACCTACTGAAAAAGTCAACTTGCAATCTTAGTGCTGAGGAAGCTGAGACAGGAAGAGCCTTGGGGCTCACTGGCCTGCTGCTCTAGCCAAATTAGTGTGTTCCAGGCTAATGAGGGACTGTCCCAAAGGATGTAGATAACATTATTAAGAATGACACCCAACACTGTCTTCTGACCTCCATGCTGAGGCACATATGCACACATGAGTANCATGAAAGGAGAGAATGTCTGGAAATTTGTCCTCTGACCTCCACATACATGCCATGGCATCCTCCAGCTCACACTCATACATATAATGATACACATACATACATACATACACACAGAAAAAGGGGGATAGGAAAAAACCTGGCTTGCACGACACATAGCTACTGTTGTCTGGAAAGTGGCAGTGGTGACTGAGACCAGCAGCAGCTGGGGGAAGAGATGGAGGTGGAGCAAAGGACAGGTCTCAGTGGGGAGTGGACTGAGGGCTCAGCTGGGCTAGCACGGTAGAAAGCTGAGCTTTTTGGTCAGACAGACCTGGTTTATAAACCCAATTCAATCCTTCATTAACTAATTCGTCTCCAACACTCTTTCCTTCTGTGCCAAATGTGGGCACAGATTGCCCTACTACAGACTTGCCATGAGGAACAGCAAAAAGTGCTTAAGAATGTGCCTTTGAAATACCAGAAGAGCAAACATTCAGTATCTGAGAGCTGGATTTTGTGGGTGATGAATTGAAAGGCAACCTCCAGGGTGGGGCCCTGATGCGCTAAGGCTGTGGCTGTGTAAGAAGAGAAGAACTGTAAGCCAGCGTCTGTAGTCTCTCACGATGGCCTGTGCTGTGCCGGTGCCCAAAGTGACTTCACCAGGCCCAGCTCTCTTGGGCTCTGCAGCCTTCAGAATGCCAAGCTAAGTAAACCATCATTGTTGATAAACTAGACTAACAGCTGCACCCCAAAAATGGCCCAAAAGAAGCAGGGAAAGGCTTTCAAGATAAAGAAAGACAAGAGAAGTGTCTGGAGAATATGTGATGGTTTGAGTTAGAATGGCTCGCATAGGCGCCTGTATTTGAAAGCTTAGTCACCAGGGAGTGACATTATTTGAGAAAGATTAGGAAGTGTGACCTTGTTGAAGGAATTCTGTCACTGGGGGTGGGCTTTGAGGTTTTGAAAAGCCTGTGCCAGGTCCAATCTCTCTTGTCACCTTCTCTCTCTGCCCACAGATCAAGTTATAACCCTCAACTACTTCTCCATCATCATGTCTGGAAGATTCTAACATACTTCCCCCTATGATAACGGACTGAACTAAACTGTAAACAAGTCTCCTGTTAAATGTTTCCTCTTGTAGGCGTTGCCTTGGTCCTGAGGTCTCTTCACAATAGAACGGTTACTAAGACACTGGGCTTGCCTCAGCTCCCACTCTTCCCTCCCATTGTCATTTTCTTCCTCTTTTTCTCCTCTCAGCCAAAAGAGAATCACTCTCCAGGGTCGGAAAGCACTTACCTTAAGCAAATATATTAATTTTTCTCACCATCAAACAGATGCACATCCATTCCCCTAAAAGAATGACCAAGAAGTAAAAGCTGAAGGCTGGAGTGGGTGAGGTCCAATCCAGAGAGAGGAAATGGGGAGGATGGGATTTCAGAGGAAAGACAGAGAAAAATGAGAGAGGTCAAAGTACAATGAGAAAAAGAGAAAATAAATAATAGAAAGGAGCTGGAGGAAGCGGGATATGGGCGAGAGATGATTGCACCAATCTGTCTCTGAGAGCAGTGCGCCCAGGGTCTGCAGGCTAGCTCTGGGTGAATCTGGCTGCTCGCTTGCCCCTCCATCCAGAGAATGCCCAGGCTGCATCTCCACTGACATGTACTTAGGCTTGTCCTGTCCCTTTTTCCCTCCTACAGCAGCTGTAGGGAGGCAGGGAATCTGTCATACTTAATCTCTGAATCCCTGGGACTTAGCGTGATAGTCCACATACTTAAGGCACTCCATAAGTACTTTTTAATGAACGAATGAATGATAATAAAGGGCAGATGAATGAATGAATGAATGATAATGAAGGACAGATGAATGAATGAATGAATGAATGAATGGGCCGGACTGACACTGTGCTGGGATTAGCCTATTTCTCCAAACCCCTTTGGCAAACAGACCTTGTCAATATCTTAACAAATTTTGAAGACCCCTTTCCTCTTTGAAGACCCTTTTCTATTTATGAAAGAGTGTTTTTGTTTCATATTTTAAATTTCTATTCGCTAAATCACAGTAAGTAAATCAAAAGTTCCCTCAACTAACGTGATTTTTAAATATGTTCGGACGTGCGTTTCATCCCTAGCTCAGAGTCAGCTGTTAATGCAGTCTGGAAAACAGGCTCCCACCTGCAGTTGTTTTTTATCTTTCTGACTCTGTGACGCACAAATACAAATGTTTAAAAAACAGTTAAAGCAAGAAAAGGTTCTCTTTGAAGTCATCTCACTTCAAAGTCTTGGCTGTTTGCTGCTGTTCCCAGCATTTGTGACATTAATACTCTGAGAATTATTGGAGTGTGGCCAGAGAAGGGTTGAGCCAGCCAACTGGGGTACACATTTAGATCCACAAATACCCCAGCCATCCCCAGCGTAGACAGACACTTTCAGTCCACAGACAACAAATGAGAACCCCAACAACAAATATCCTTTCGAATTTGTGAAAATATAGTGTTTGTAAAGATGTTAAAATTTGCCTTCTGCATTTTATTCCAGAATGTAAGGAATTATTTTAGCCTCGGAGAAAGCAAACATGCAATTACAATTACATAAAATTAAGCTAGCTAATTAGGTATTTAAAATAAAAACAAAAATTCCCCTTGTCTTTTTGTGAACTACTATTTATCTGAAAAACGTTCTGTTGCGATGTTAAGACTCCCATTCCTGCAGCTTTGACAGACTCCATTGACAACGGGGATTTGAAGAGGGAGCTGACCATCTGTCCACATCTCCCTGAACTTTCAGCAAAGCGGATGAATAAAATTATCCTTAATTATGTTGTGGGACAGCATCTGAGTCCCCAGATGTGCCAGCTTTTGGATCCACCATTCAAACTCCACTCAGCGATTCCGAGTGTGAAACACAACTCTAATAACGGAAGTGCCTCAGATTCATAGGATGGAGATCTGCTGGGCCTGCTACCAAAGGACTAAAGACCAGGCTTTCTTTCTTACTGTGTATGCCCATAACCATGGGATGCAGCAAGTGAGGGATGGGGACGACCCATTACTCGGGTGAATTCTGCAGTGTTCTTTGCACTCGGTTCTGCCACATAGGATACAGACATGCGATGGCTTCTTCACCTAGTGCATTTGCTTAGCTGTCTCCTGATTCCTGTGCACAAAGACCCTTCTTGGGTTACCCATATCTGACCCACAGCCTTGAGTCAGGAGATGGTCTCATGGCACAGCGGTTCATAGTGTGGTTGGTAGGCAAAGGTTATGATCCCAGATCGGCTACCTACTGGTTTTATAGCTCTGGGCAAGATACTTATCTTCCTAGATCATCCGTTTTCTCATCTATGTAATGGGGACAATAATTATGTTTTTTAATGAGGGTTGTTCTTTATGAGCTAATATATGGAAAATGTGGTTTCTGGCCTAGTTAAGACTCAAATGTAAATTGCATAAGTATTTATTAAGTGCCTACTGCATAAAAGTCTTGTGCTAGGTATTAGGGAATAATAATATTATTAATCATTATTTATTATTTATTTTTATTCATTTAATTTCACAATATATACTTTATAATTCGTTATTATTTTTATTACTACTACTATTTTCTATCTTGATCATATCAATGGCGTCCCTTCTCTCACTTTTGAGCATACTTGGCTTGGATGTAACACTTCACTGCATTCCTTAACTGGTTCCCATGCATTGATTTCAGAGGACCACAGGCTTCTCAAAAAAGGGGGATAAACTTCTGCAGGCAAAGCACAGAGCAGAAGCCAGAAGATCGGAGCCCCACAGGCTTCTCTGCTCCCCCATCTTCCCTGCTTTCCCTTGACAAATCCAGATGCCCACATCTCCTTCCTTGCATGCTGCTGAGTAGAAGTTGGTTATAATGACCTCATCCCCTTTTCAGCTCAGCATCAAATGGTTTTCCCTGACTTCTTGCCAGTGAGATAAATCTGTGCATCCATCTGAAGTTCTAAGGAAGCTGAGCTTTGTGCTGTGCTGCACTGTGGCATTGGGCTGTTGACCTGCTTCCTACTCGGATACAACTTTTAGAATCAGCCCATGTGGCCAGGCAGCCGTCTTTCTGTGAATTTGACTGTAGAAAGTGAAACCGAATCCTTTTTCATGTGTTCTGATGACACAGTGAAGGCCCTTTCACCTTCCTGTAGCAAACAGAAAAACCTAGAGCCAACTCAGATTTCATGGAGAAGCCATGAAGGTGGGATTCAACCCCCTTGATAAGAACGGAAACAAAAATGATAGCAACCCGTTGCTTGTGAGGACACTTCCAATGGGGAAACTGCTTTATTTTAGACTTTTTTTGTAGAGTGTTTAGACTTACTTTTGGCCTGCTGAGACCTGAAACTTTTGATCTCATCCACCCTCAGTCCCATCGCACCCTCCAGCAAGTCCCTCTTCCCTTTCTCTCCTACCCGGTCCCCTGCGGCAGCTCCTCAGATCACACCTCACCCATCCCTTCCTTCAGCAAACACTCATTGACTGTCCCCTCTTTGCTTGTGACCCTTCCTCAACTCCTCCTGGCCACCAGCCTAGTCCTCTGCTCCTTTGTACAAACAATTCCTCAAAGCCAGAGCCTGGACACTATTTGTAGCTTCAGGGTCAACTGAGTTCCCCCAGATGAGGTTCTTTGTGGCCATGGTGACTTTTACCTAAGCACCAAGATGCCAATAAGAGCCCACGCAATCCTACACTTCAGTCTAGCGACAGCAAATATGACTTCTTTCTATTCAGTGGCAGAGATCAGCCTCCTAATAGTCTCTTAATGACGCCCCTGCAGATGCTAAGATTTGGAAAGAAATTTACAGGATACAGGCAGTTTTCTAAGTTTTTTCTTTCACACTAGATTTCCCTGGCATCCTTCAAAGTTATGCAAGATGCTAGTTAAATCTGCATCTTCCAGACGAGGAAACCGAGGCCTGGGCTGTGTAACTTGCCAGTAGAGAGGCACAGCAAAGTGTCTGGAGGGAAGCCCTGTGAGTGTGAAGCCCACACCAACCAGCTGGCATCGGTGGGAATTCTGGCAGGGCCATGGAGCTCCTCCTTCAGTCTTCCTAAGCAGACACACCGTGCTTTGCTGACCAGCGTGAATGCCAACACTCACGCATCCAAGTTGCAAGGCTTGCACTGGCTTTGTCTGTGCTGCGCCCCTGGGAGCCACCCACTGGTTTTGTAAAAAGAAACGCTGCAGCTCAACCGCATCCATATTCCTTCCCCACCCCCTCATTCTAGCTCAAAACTCAGATGATACACGGCACCCAGTCGTTAGTATTTGAAATAAAGCCACTGAATAAGAACACTGACACGTGTTTTGCATCTTGGGGGATAGTTACTTTTAAAATACCATCGATCATATTTCTGACTTACCCTCCTTGATCTTCCCAGCTTTGATATAAGGGCTAAGAAATAGAGGCCGTCCTGCATTTCCCCGGAATGGCTTGGAAACATGGGCACTTCGGTATAAGGAGCGAAACAGTCCATCCCCAGGGCTGACCGGAAACAGGATCAATGAAACAATCACCTTCCACAGGGCATCAACCATTGCTTGGCCTGGGGTAAGAGCAGTAACATTCCACACATCAGTCAAAAGCCAGTATTTGCCTATCTGCTTTACATGCAAGAAATCTATTTGTTTACTAAAAGAAAAGCAAAACAAACAAAAAACCCTTTCCTGTATAAAAACAGTTTGGTGATCCCCTTGGACTTACTTCACCAGGAGATAAGCAAGGCTCACCCAACCCCGGTTGACCCCCCACCTCAGCTACCTAGAGAGAGATTCTACAAGGGATTTACTATATATCTGGAAAGCAACTGCTACATTGAAAACCATGGCCTAGATAAGAAATCCAGTAGAGGGGCTGGAGAGATGGCTCAGAGGTTAAGAGCACTGGCTGATCTTCAGGAGGTCCTGAGTTCAATTTTCAGCAATCACACGGTGGCTCACAACCATCTGTAATGAGATCTGGTGCCCTCTTCTGGCCTGCAGGCATACAAGGAGGCTGAACACTGTATACACAATAAATAAATAAATTTCCAGTAGAGAATTAAGTAAAATGCGTAAGCAACCAGAGCTCTGGAAAAGGCCTCTCAGTGAGTGGTAGAGACCACTCCATCACTGCAGAATAGCAGGGTCATTGGTGCACATTTCAGTGGAGATGACCTAGGCGGCTCTCCCCAAGGTGAATGGAAATGAAAGGGGGTCAAACTCAGGCATGGAGTAGCAACAGGAAAAGCACACACACACGCACACACACACACACACACGCACACGCACACAGCACTGAACATAGAGGAGATGGCTTAAGTAAAGGGGAGACCAAGGGTTACCAGTGCATCACAGGGGAATCTGAAATGAGCTGTAGGTTTTTCTAGCATCTCCCTGTGTCTTACAAACCACAGTTTTATATCCAACAACAACACAGAAAGAAGAAATGGAGGATCCTATAACTATTTCCAGGTTCCTCTGCTCATCGTCATCTGATAAGTAAACTCAAGAAATTAGGCCCCACAGGACACATGCATGCCTACAATCCTAGTGCTTAGAAGCTGGAGTCTAAAGGATCAGACGTTCACCGTCATCTCTGACCACATAGCAATTGTCAGCCAACGCGGGGTACGGGAGAGAGTCTGCCTCACACAATAAACAAACTAAGTATGAGGGTGAAAGGAGGCAGAGAGATGCTTTAGATGTCAAGGGCTCTTGCTACTCTTATAGACGACCAGATTGGTTCCCCACATCGGGGACTCACAACCTCTTGTAGCTCCAGATCCATGGAACTGACGCCCTCTTCTGGCTTCAGCTGACAATTGCACACAGGTGCACATACCCACATTCAGACACTGTACACACAGTGTTAAAATAAGTTAAAAATAAGAATAAATCATTTTTTTAAGAGTGAGAAGGGGGATAGCGGCAGCAATCTTTGAATGTGATTTCTGCAGACAGGATTCTCCTGGCACATCATCGCAATGGCTGGAAATCATGTTGCCTGCCATCCAGACTTTACACAAACACTTACAATGTGTCTGCAGTGGGTCTTCCGGGATATTTCTAATGTGTTTTTCAGCTGATCTGAATCTCCTAATAACTCCACCAGAAAGGTAGGAATGATTCATCTCAAGGTTAGGCAACAAAACTGGACCTGATATGTTGACTCGGGTTAAAGACAGGAACGTAGAGAAGCCAGCCTGACTTCAGGGTTCCTTGGCTATGTGGGGATTCATGAAAGTTTTGCGCAGTGTGGACAGAGGCTGGTTTTATTTAAAATTTTGATTTAGCCAGGCAGTGGCAGCTCAGGCTTTTAGCCCCAGCGCTCAGGGAGGCAGAGGCCAGCGGATCTCTGTGAGCTCGAGACCAGTCTGGTCTACAGCGTGAGTTCCAGGCCAACAGAGCTACACAGAGAAACCCTTTCTCGAAAAAGCAAACAAATGAAAAACCTTGATTTATTTCTATCATATTTTTTAGTCATTTGTAGAGTTTTCAATTTATTGTACTAAAACGCTGTTGTCTTGATTACTGAGGTTTTGTGGCTGCCTTGGATGGCCCACCTGAGGCAGATGACTCTCTTGCCACACCTTCACCCCAGCCCTGCCTAGTGTATTACAGCACCGCACCTGCCGGCACCCGGTTCCACCCCACTGATACTTAAGCATGATGGACAGCCTTAGCTCTAAATTCTGATCTGGGTGGTTTTGTTTTAGAGCTGGGTCTGGAACCCCAGAGGGTGGGAGAGATGGCTAAGTAGTTAAGAACTCTGCCGGCTCTTCCAAAGGTCCTGAGTTCAATTCCCAGAAAGCACATGGTGGCTCATAACCAACTGTAATGAGATCTTGAGGAAGAGACCTGGTCAGTGATCCCTCATCAGCTTAGACCATGATATCCAATATGGACAAGTTCAACAGAACCGCTAAATACAGGTTGTCCGTGCATGCTTCAGCCTTGCCAGGGCATAAATTAAATTCATTAATGGAACCCATGCACATGCTAGCACATGCTAGAAAAGAACTCTATCCCTGAATCCTAACCCCAGCAGCAAACTTCTAAACAAAATGTTGTGCAGTGAATAAATCCCCCATTTTCTCAGGTGTCTGAGTATAAAAGGAAATATACAATTATGCAAATACCACATCTGCTTTAGATTTTCAGGGCTTCAAAATGTCAAACCATTAGAACACTTTAAAAATACAAAGTGTGTACAAACCTATTTACCACATGTTTAACACAACCCAATTTAGCAGAATACAAAATACTGGGTTGTGACAAATTTCACAAGCTTTTCAGCATCATTTCCCCACTGAGGTAAGGGTTTATAATCATAATTTGATTGAATATATGACCCTTGTCGTATCTCTCAGGGTTAACTTAATAGAATTCTCTATGCCTAATGTAAATAAGCCCATCCAAGTATAGTACATAGCTCCAAATGATTTTGCCTATTATTGACTATAATAAAGAACCACATGAATTCAGAAATTGAAATTAAGTTCTCAAGGGACCCAAGGGTAATGGCCACTATGGCGCTGTTAAGATATTGTTTTTAATTATGTAAATTTGCTGCACCAAGGCTTTAATCACATAGCTACTTTCAAAGAATGCCTGAAAACAACAGTTCTATTGATTCGGAAAACAGAAGCATAGTGTGTGAAAAAAAAAATTAGTAATAACAGAAAAAGCTCTTCCAGGAAGATGGTCTTCTGGGGCAGACAAAAAATAAATAAATAAATAAAAAGCACCCTGTTGTCTGGTTTCCCTGTCTTCCAGCACCAAGCCTCCAGCCGGCTTAATGGCACCATTAATATTTAAACAACCGCTGAAGTCACAGCATTGCCCCAGAAAGCAGAACTTCATGCAATGATGTAAAAAAAAAAATTAGGTGCAAGGGGGCTTGTTTTAATTGACATAAATTTAGTACACAAAAGTAAGGGTTAGTTCAATTTAGTAGAGCTTGTTAACATTTAATCAAACGACTGCTGGAGTCGTGGTTCTCCACGTCCGTGAATTAAGGCAACAACATCCTTCATTTCACAGTTCTCACTTAACAGTCAGAATGCCACAACTGCTCAGCTGCCATCTCTCCTAAGGGAAATGAAAAGCATTAACATGAATGGAGGAATGAAAAAAAAAAAAAACCAACCTTCTCCAATGCGATTGCTGATCCTGTGTCGAACTAAATCTCTCATTTACTAACCACTGAGCACTCTCTGAATGAATAAACCTATACTAGACAGAAGCTGTGGCTCACAGAACCTCAGAAAAGAAAAAGAAGAGACTGCTAGCAACCCACGTTTCATCAAGCCTACTTGGATGAATATGAAGGAGAGAGCAAGCTCCAGTCTCAGCGCATCTTAGGGAAGGGTTCAGGGAAGGCAGGTCTCTTAGTGGTTAAAAACAAACTCTAGGTGAATTCCGGCCATGGTAGTAGAATCAAATCAAGGCAGTTGCAAATGTGTTTGCTAAAGCCAGCAAGTATTATTGTTAGAGCCCACGTGTCATCCATTGTTTATATAAACAAAGCTATTGACTCCAAATTTCTTTAGGATAAGAAAGCAACACAGTACATTTCCATTCCACACCAGATAAATAAGTTACCAGTCCAAAAAGTTGATATAACAAAAACTGAAATGACTACAGAGAACACTTAGGAAATGCGACAAAGTATTAGGTAAAGAAAAGTAGACCGCTAGACAAGATAGAGGTATTTCTCCTTGTTTTACACTTCCTATAAATGTCTAAGTTTTCTACAATAATCAATATTATAAATACGAAAGGGAAGTTTTTCTGATGGTTTGATTTTCCTTCAGACATAATTAAGCAACGGATAGACAGAACAAAAAACAGGGGGCTTGTTCCTCATTCCTCATTACTACCTGGTTATGACCTCTTGCGTTTCCTAGGAATAAGGTTCTGTTTGTTCTTTTTTCTCCAACATTCTATAAGATGCATCCTGATCTAAAGTCACAGAACTTCAGAGGCTCAATGTGGGGTTTGCCTTGGTAACTTAGAAGGAACTGGGCAGAAGTGAGATGCTGTTGTCATTTATTATTATTCTAGTTGTGTCTGATTCTGCTTAGGGTCTTTAACAAATGCGTATGCATGAGCCACTAGAAAAGCGTGAGAATGATGGATCTAAAAGGCCCCAAGATATTCTACCTTCAGAAGGCATTAGATGTTCACATGATCTAACAAGGCAGTACACCCAAACCTGACATAAAAGACGGACTTCATCAGGAGGATCCCATAATGGATGAGAAGTGGGGCCAAGACTCAAAGCCAGGATTCATTTATGATTCTGAATCTGCTGCTTTCTACTGGCCCCATCTTGGACCATGCATATTCTGACTCTAGTCTGAATAGACAACAGTCTTTTGCTGTCCCACTCATAAATTGATGAGCAATGCACAAACAAACAAAAGATATATGGAACAAAGGGTCAGTGTTCTGGGCAAGGTCTGTCACCATAACTCATGAGCCTTGATAAGATAGCAGCTTCCTTGTGTCCCCCTCGGGGTGGCAGACTACAACCAGGACACTTGTCAGTTACA